TTTTTGAGATTCTAAGTAGCAGAAATTTATAGTTTTTTAATTTTAAAAGTTCATTCAGATTGGAGTTTTTAAGTGTAAGAGGACAGTGAAACAAAAATTTTAAGTTTCATTCAGCTCTGATAATTGAGTTAATAGAAGCTCCTTCCTCTGTCTGCAGTCATCTAAGCTAAATTTAAGTTGTATTTATAATGTCTCATATGCTTCTTCTTGGACTCTCAGCCAATGTGATATAGCAAGATGGAGCTATTTTGTATAAAATACAAAAATATGTAGGAGTTTGCTAGTAGTTACAAAAGAAAAGTACTTGCAGAAATATACCCTTAATTTTAAATTAWAATAATTTTAATTTCTTTTTCTTTATGATTTGAAGCATTTTTACCCAGTGGCTTGAATATTTAAAATGAAAGTCTTGGGCACCAGAGTTTTGATGTATCCTAAGTTTAAGCAGAGTAGCAGAAAGTTCAGGTCTTGTACCTCAAGAGAAATTTCACTGGCTTAACTTGTAGATTCATGTAGCTTGTACCTTTAAAGGCTTGCTCAGACCTGCATTTTGGCAACCTTGTTTTTAATCAGCTTCTCTTTTTTCTCATCAGCGATATTCTGTGATTACTACAACCCTCCTGATGAGTGTGAGTGGCACTATGAGCCTTGTGGCAGTAATATCACAACCTGCAGGATGATCAACAATGTCAGCACCAACTTTACAGTACCATTACTGGAAGGTAATAAATTCCTTGCCATTTTTTATTATGTTTTGTATAACTTTGTTCAGGTATCTTTTAACAATTATGGAGTAGTCAGTAAACTTGATGAGATGTTCCTAAATCTGCTATATTGAATTTGCCTCCAGTCTTACATAAATATTTCCTGATAGTTGGGATGTTTTAAACTTATTTTTTTTATGCATCAGATCACCTTGCTTTTATTAGACCAATGTGCAGCATTCACCTACCTTTACACTGAAAAATAAATATCTTTCATAGCAGACACACTGATACTGCTATGCATTGAATTCTTAACAGACAATCTATTTCATTTGTAGATGCGATATTCATAGGTGACAGTCCTTGTGGCTGATAATGGAACAGGAATTTCACATTAAAAGGGCTGCAATGCTCCAAGAATGTGAAAAACTTTACAAATATATTCYGGTTTATCACATGGTAAAACTGGAKAAAACCCCCTTATTTTTAGCCACATAGTCATTTTGGTCTGGACTGGAAGCACTTATCTCCAGTTTAGAGACTGGAATGAAATGCCTTGAGTTTGACTTTGCTTTGAACTGCTGGTAAAAAAAATGAAAAGGAAGAAAACCAAATAAATCAGAACTCAAGCAAAACCAAACCAAAAAACCACAAAAAAACCCTACTAAATATATCAACAAAAATCCCTAACCAAAATATTTTTTAAAAACCAAAAAAAAAAAAACTCTATGTTTTAAAATAAATTGTTTTAGATTGTGAAAAAGATTTGGAAAGTGTCAGAAGGGAGATTATTATGTATCCAGTTGTCTTTCTGTATTATTTTTGTTGTTTGATTTCAATAGAAATATAGATCCTACCTATTTTTGTTAGAACGTCTTAAGTACAGTCTGGCCAAGTAAAGTGACTTTTAAGTACCAGYTAATTACATGGTGCTAATTACAAGGCTATTTAGAACTGCAATRCAGCATAAAGAGGACTTCATGTCATTAAGAATAGGACTTAATAAGAGTTTATTTGGAAGAAGGAGTTAGAATAATATTTTTAAGTGTATTTGAAATGAAACATGTAATGAGAATTGACAGTGAATAAATCCTTTGCAGTGAAGTTTGGATCACTGCCCCAGGATGAGGAAAAACACAGATAAATGATCTATTTGAGGCAGAGATACCTGGTCTGTTAAAGGCAATTAAAGAAAGTCTGATGTTCCAATAAATGTAGTGAAAACCTGTTTGTTAGTGAAGTATTCTTTATATAGTGATCTATGCAAAAAATGGGATGTTTCTTTGTCTTAAAATTATTAGCTGCCCATGGAAATCAGTATAAATTAGGGGTTTATCCAAGGTATTGAACTAAAAATAAAATTACTTCCCTAGTTTTCATAAAAAATCCACTTACTTAATCCTTCTCACCCTAGTATTATCAATGGGAATYGTTTCAGTCTTTGGAGAGACTAATTGTCCAAGGGTTTTTTTTTTGAAAGGAAAATTTTTGCTTTCAGTACACCTGATTCACTGAGAATAATTTACCTTCAGAAGGTAACATATTGCTGAATTAACTTTTATACTTTTTGTTCATTCCTGTATTCTGKTCTACCTGTCATCAATAGGTTGCTACCCCAGATGCCCTAAGGACAAGCCTATTTATAATGAAGAGACAAAGGAATGTGTGACTGAAGATAAATGTTGGTGTTACATCGAAGGTGGAATCCATGTACCCCCTGGGCAAGAAATACCCACAAAAGAAAACTGTACAATATGGTATATAAAAATTACTTGCAGTAATTCAGGAAATAATTTGTGTATGCTGAGTCCCTCATTTACTTTACTGGGCCTYGAACAAATAGAGATGCAACTTCAGCTGAAGAGCTGGCATATTCTTGCATTTCATAGTTTTCCAAACCCATAATAGTCCAGATTGCAGGATGGTAGTGCTGTTATAAGTGTATTAGCAAATTCACTAATTATACCTGCCAACTCTCAGAAATTATATAACGGAATAAAACCTGGGTGAGTGTCAAAAACAACCTTCCGAGTCTCATGACTCTCTGGGAAGAGAGAATGCCTTGCATCCTCATTTAAAACTGGGCTTTAAAATCACTGTAATCTGAAATAATCTGTGCTAGCCGTGAAAGAGATAGTTGAGTCCTAARTGCTCATTCTTAGAGCCTTAGCAATGACAGCATTTACACCTCTGGCGCCACATGGTGGAGACCAGAGAATACCCTGATCTACCTGTAAATTCACTCTGCAAAAGAGTTATTGCAGTGTTGCAACTTGCAACACAAAGCGTTCCGTGGTAGTTTTAAGATGTTGTGCTGAAAGTGGTTACTTAGTTTGAAAGAAAAAATGATAGGCAGTACCGAAAATATTAAAAGAAAATTATCCAGTAGTGTGAATGAAGATCAAGTGACAAATATCAATGTTTCTGTGCTCTTGATTCTGCTAGGGTGTCATAAAACATCAGCAACATTTTAATTTTCAAACATTTTTCTTTCAGTGTCTGTGGCCCCTCAGGATCCATCCAATGTAAACCAGTCCCAGGTAAAAAACGTTTGAGTTTTTCTAGAAACAAACAAAAAATAAAGCATAGGACTGCTATGTCTGACTCTGCAAAAGACTTAGTATTGATTTAGAATAATTATTTCCAGTGCTAGTGAAAGTTATGACTGAAGAAAATTTGTCAGCATTTTCGTTGAACCTTGATGTTAGTACTTCTGGTTCAGCCTTTTTCTCATGTCCCTTCATTCTTTCTCCACATGTCACATATCCAAACTAATGGATTTCACTACAAGAGTGTGTATTTCCTGAACATGTAGTTATTATATAAAARTGTCTGATAGTAAATTGCAAATTTTTTCTCTCAGAACATTTTAAAACCTACTTTCTAAGTCTGTACCACCAGGCATTTTATGCAGGAATTGCTCAAATATGTTCTAATGTTGCTTTAATAAAAAGATAAATTAGCACAATATAGTAGATCTAAGCTCCCGGTACAGCTCTGAAAAGCATGCATGAATCATGTAAATGCATTCTTGTCCATGAGTATTCTGTCTCTGCATCTTACATGGTAACAGRAAAATTGCACAGTAAAGCTCTTTCTTGCAGGGTGTCCTTGTGTCATCAATGGAACGAGTTATGAAGTGGGTGAAACTGTGGCACAAGTACAGGATGGTGATGTGTGTATAAGATACATTTGTGCAGAAAATGGCTCTGTAGTTCCTGATGCAGTCTTTCCTTGTCCAACATCTTCACCTACAACCATTTCAACCTCCTTTCCTACCAGTACTCTTACCACAGGTAAGTCATCAACACAGATATGACCTAAARTTGTTTTCATTAAGGAAAATATTTTACATATAGAAAGTACAATTATATGGGATTCTAGYTGACACAGACAGAGCAATATTTATGGATCAGTTTATCACACCACAATAAGAAAGACTTTTAGCATTTTGAGTTGGTTTATTTCTTATGAAAGAAATTGTAAGTATAAATGTACAGGGTGCCTTTTTTTTCTAAAAAAAACTTGTTAGCTGTTCAATATCCTAATGGGATAGTAGAAATAGTCCAGGAGTGTCAGCAAAAAAATATACTATTATATTTCTTTTAAAATGATAATCTCTTTTTGTTCTATTTCAGTTACCACTACAAGCCATCCAGTAACTACAAGTAAGTTATAAATAAAAACCAAAGGTGTTAAAAATGTCAAAGGAATACTTAAAGGAAGAATAAATTAAAGATAATCACTACAGAAAAATATATTTTAAAGAAAAATYTATATATTTTTTATAATTTCAAAAGTGTCATTAGTTTAGAGAGAAGAAGGACCTTTAAAGGCTTCAGCTTGGTGATAATATTTTGATGCAAGACTTCCAGTTTAAAGACCTGGTGATATAGAACCAATTTTAGAACTCTTTTCTTTGGAAAGATGACMAATTGCAATGCACTCCTCTAGTCCTCAATGGAAGAAAATTAAAAATTGATCTTCTCTGGATGTTCTCTGTAAACTCTGAAATATTTGTCTTTTCTTGCAGCKCCATGCTTTGGACTAATCTGTGATTGGACTGAGTGGTTTGATGTTAGTAAACCTGAAGAAGGTGATGGTGACTATGAAACATATGATAAAATAAAAGAACACGGACACAAAATATGTGAAGCTCCTGAACAAATTGAATGCAGGGCTAAGGATCAACCTGATGTGAGCTTAGAAGAACTTGGTCAGAAAGTAGAGTGTGATGTTAAATATGGACTGATCTGTAAAAATGAGGAGCAAGATGTAACAATGTGGCAACTTTGCTATAATTATGAAATCAGAGTAAACTGCTGTGAGGTGCAAGAAATTCCTTGTGGGCCTACAACTAAACCTACTACACCCCAACCTGGAACTTCAACCACCACSAAGACGACAGTACCCATCACCACAACAGCCAGGACTTCAACAGAAATTACCACCACGCCCACACATGCCCATTCCACCACCAGTGAGCATACACCATCAGTCCCCACTCCAGTAACTCCATCTACAGGTATTTAACAGAAAAATGCTCCGTGATCTTACTTTGCCATTGGAGAAATAAAGGGCTATTGGCTACTAAAGGCAGGTCACAATTAAAGAAAACACTGATCTGGAAGGAAGTCTTAGAAGGGTTTGGTGTTTTAAGTTTCTGCTGAAGACAGAAATATTCCCAGAAGGACCTGCTGTGTGAGAAACTCCTGTTCCTAGAGGTATTTTCTGGGTTGGGCTGTGTAGGCTTCCTTAATCAGGCTGACATGGTCTTTCTGATTTTRTGAGAAGCACCTTCAGGCATCATGACTAATGTGTTCCCTAGGAAAAGARGGCCATGACCTTGTCTGTGCATGGATGTCAAGCATTCTGCTTYCTGGGGCCAGAAAGGAAGGGCTGCTGATAGGAACCTTTGCTGTGTTAAGGGTGGGCTGACCTCCTAGGTCTGTGGCAGCTGCCTCATGCACAGCTTCTGTTCAGTTCCTATTGGGTCCCACTGATGCCTTTGTGTCTTTGTTTTCTCTGTCCCTGCYGTTTCTAACAGGCACACCTCCATCTACTCCGAGTACACCAAAATCAACAACMACTCCCTCGACACCGGAGACTCCCACCACCACCACCACCACCCCAACATCAACTACTGTATCAACACCCACCACAACTACTGGAAGCACATCCTCACCCACACCAACATACACCACCACCCTACMAACTCCAGGTACTTCTCTGGACTGTACTCTGATGTGGTCCTTTGCTATGGGAGAAATGAAGGTGCCTTCGCATTTCCTCTAGTGTATCTCCATGGGATTGCAGGTTGGAGTGCCTCTCCTGAAGTGACCTGTGYTCAAAGCTGGCCTTTTGGCTGACTGGTTTAGAAGAACAAGGATTTAGGGGTCCTATAGTGAGGGTCTGGCTTCTCTGACAAAACGAGGGTCCAGGGGAAAATTTCGTGCTGGTAACCACTGTAGAAAGATGCTGAGCTGATGTGAAATGTTGATTTTCCTGCTGTTGGACCTTGTCCTTCAGCTGGCCGGAACATATTTACTGGGCCAATGCAAGGAGTGCTATTGGACTGGAGCTTTAGTTTGTGACTCTCTCATAGGCACACCTGTGCAGATCTTTTTCGCTGGCTCCTTTGCTCTGTCAGTGCAAGTGGGTAGCTGTGGTTTTAAATCTTAGAAGCAAGGATTACCCTGGGAGACTTTTGGMAACAGTTTTGCACTGCAGAATGCTACTTGCTGAGAACTATAGCCTTTTATTGATGCCATGCACTGGAACTCTGGGAGCCCCTTCATTAGGCTGACATTCCAACACAGGAAAATTTTATGCCACTCAGGCAGGAACTTAATTCCTCTTCACACTTCCACGTTTGACCATGGATTGGCTCCACAGGTCTTACTCCAGGGATTTGTGAGATGTTCAGTTAATGATACAGAGACAGAAAGCTCTAGCCAGATCAAAACCATTGCCCCTCCTCATCTTTTACCTATTGGTAGGTCTCTCTGATTTTGTGACAAGCATGTTCCAGCACCATCCCCAATATCTTCACTAGGAGAAGTCAGCCATCACATTTTCTGTGTTTG